GCCTTGGCATCTAGTCATGCCGGCCACATGACCACGGAAAAGTCTTCGGACAGCGCTGGCTCTTCGGCTTTGAAACGGAGATGAGCACCGCAACCCTAGAGTTGGATTCGACTGGCTTTCGAGCAAGGGAACCTTTACCTTTACCTTAATTCATTTGTACCTCGCCTTTCTCCCCAGGAGGGACCCAAAGTGGCTTACATTGTTCTCCTCTTCTCCATTTTATTCTCACAAAAACCCTGTGAGGTAGGCTAGGTCGGAAGAATGGTGACTGGGCCAAGGTCACCCAGTGAGCTTCCATGGCCCAAGTGGGGATTTGAACCCTTCCAGATACTGGTCTGATACTCTTTGACTCTTTTGTGTCAAGCACTGTGTGTTGCCAGAGAGAGCATTATGGTGCACAAACAAAATAGCAGTATGAGTGCTGCTCTTGACAAAATGGGAAAACGTGGCGGATATTAGTGTTAAATATGGCTGCAGTATCCTAGAATTTCATTGTTGGAATTCAACTGTCTTGCCAGTTCGAGTGCCCTGTACTTCATAAAATGACTTGGGGAAAGATGGTACCCTAGAGTAACTTTGAAATTGTTTGTTTAAATTAACTTTCATTTGAATTTATGCATAAAGGTAATTTTCAGAGGTCTGAGATGGCGCCTCTAATGAAATGTGTCTGAAGCCAATGAAGAGGCTTGCCAGACTGTAAGGGCTCCACATCCTCCCTCCGAACGAGTGGGCTTTCATAATGTTACACTTGGGTGGCACAAGCAACTGCTCGATGATTAGTTTATGACCTAGATCATTGTGTTTTTATTACACTCATAAAAACCGTGTTTCTCCTCATTTTCGTAATGGCTTCATTGAGCTTCTGTACCTTCTAAAGGCACATTAAACTGTTAGATGATAGAGGCACCAGCTACCAGGGACAATTTGTTAGAGGGGTTTGCGAAGCGCAGATACCTGAAAGCGAGATTCGTAGTTTAAGCTCCGTGAAGTGTGTGAATTAATGGCACTGGTAGTATCTTTTAATATAGTTGTTTTCTTGGGGTGGGGAGGCTGGGATCGCTATCACAGGTCTCTGAAGAAAGCAGAAAAATAAAGAAGAAAAAATAAAAATTTCCAACGTATTATTTTATATTGTTCATAGTGGGTCTTCCCTCAGTGTTTTTAGTGGGACCAGAAAATCACTTGGGAGCACAGATTGGTCATAGGCGTCCTTTACTGGAACATCAAGAAATAAAGCTCTTATTTGCCCTTCTCCTAAATGTAGGAAAATCTCAAAAGAACACAGTATGTTCAATTAGTCTGTCATTTCAGAATGTGCACCTTTTTTCTTGTAAATAAATTCAATGATTTTAAAAGCAGAGGATTCATTGTCTTATAAATGAAGCAAATGCTATTAGGGCCAGCCCCCCCACCACTACCACCATGTCCCACAAAGGGGGAAGCCTTTAATTGAGTGCACTGTCTCTGTGCTGCTTATGCGAATGCCCCCTTTTTCTTGTTTACTCTATTTACATCTCAATGCTGTTGCTTATAAATATTTTTGCAAAATAAACTTAACCCTTTTGCAGAAAGATCAGTTTCCTTTTCACGGGGTAATTTTGTATGCTAATAGAAAGACAATGAAAGTTGCATTCAAATATAGCATCAATGTACACCATAATAATAAAGACTTTTAGTGATTATGCAGCTCCATATTAATTCAGAGGAGGGTTTTTGTTCCACAGCGGGCTGAGTTTGCAACACGGCTATGCCATCCTAGCTGGTTTTGCAGCTTCTTTGAATGACATCCAACAGACCTTTAATTGAGGATGACTTTGATTCTTGTTTGCTTGCTCTGGAACCATGCTTAGTTATTAAATGGCAACACCATTAAAGTTGTCCTGTTCTAGTGTCTGTATATTTTGGGCAAACATAGTCTTGATTGTAAGTTATATTTATATCTGGCATGTATTTTAATTTTTTTGAAAGTTTATCTCCATTGTAAACTGAAACCGGTGAATTAAATTTGCACATAAACCGAGCTACTGACCTGCTAGAATGGTTCAGATTTGTGGTGTATGTGTGTGATATTTTAAACATAAAACATCTCAGTAAGGGTTGCGGGTGTTTTGTTGTTGTTTTAATCTGAATGTGTGGCTATTCTGTTAAAATGGCAACTCTACTGCTTTTCTTTTAACACAAAAAATGATCTAGAAGGAACCAAGCTAAGCATGCAAGCAGCATTTCTATCTGACTTAGCATGACAGATTTTATTGGTATCTTGTTAATTACACACATCCATATTGGGATGGCATACCAAAAATGATGTAAAGGTAAAGGTTCCCTTGCTTGAAAGCCAGTCGAATCTTATGATGTAGCGGATTGTTATTGTTGTTGCTTGTTTAAAAAAAAGCATTATCCATTGTTTCCTCTGCAAATGGGGAGTGTGAAATTGAAAAAAGCTGAAGATAATTCCAAAGAAAAGCACAGACGCTATTTACACAGTATTTGGATGTATTCTTTGGAAATTCTTTAATATTTCATGTAACATGCAAAATATGATGTCAGTTTATTCAGAGCTTTGGAAGCAGCTGCAGAGAAAAATGTCTAATGAAAATGAAATACATTTCCTGTGAATGGAATAAATTTCGATTGTGTGTCTGAGTGCAGTAATTATACATGTCATGCAGTAATTAGGCAGTCACAGTGTGGCCACGGTGTCTTTCTTTGTCTGCAGATGGTCTGGGAAAACGGCTGTGTCGTTATTGTCATGCTGACACCCCTTGCTGAAAATGGAGTCAAACAGTGCTACCACTATTGGCCAGATGAAGGGTCAAACCTCTACCATATCTACGAGGTACTTAAACAAAATATCTGCTTGTAAACCTGACAGTAAGTGTGTGGATTGATTTCATACAGAGCAAAATATTGCTTAATGGGATTTGACCTGCAGACTGAGCCGAGGTCTACCATAAAATGCAGTCTTGTGGTTCTTGAATCATTTCAGCTTCATTGAAAATTCTGTGCATATCTTGATAGCATGGCTAGCCGAGAAGCAGTTCTATACAAATTCTAAATATACACATGGCCAGAGAGGTTTGCAAATTAGAATGCTTTTTTCCCTAAGAGGTTCAAATACAAACAAGGATGGAATTAAAATTTATACATTATAAGAAAATATTGTGCCTATAAATATTTAACAGCAGCTGTGGCTTCTACTGTTTATTTAAAAATCCTGCTTATCATTTTGGTAGTTTAATTGTTTTTTTTCCCCCAACATAAACCTATAGGGTTTTTTTGGCTAAGATGCCCCAAAGAGACACAGTATGGCAGCATCCTGTGGGCAGCAAGAAAGGTCAGGCCAGAACTCTGTAGCCGGCCCAATGCAACTCCAATGTAGAAGTAAACCAAGCTATACAGAGCCCATACTCACTATGGTTCCAGTAGAATAGAGTGTTGAGAAGTTACCTGCCCCACCATCCCACTCAGTCTCACCTTTATACCAGCCATCTATTTTATAAATTCAGGGCTTAAAATTCCACTTGGGTGGATTATAATACAATAAAAACAACAAGAAATAAAACACAGCAATTATTCTAAAGCAAAAGTCTTTAGACAAAGCATCTTGTACACTGTACAAGGTGCAAAAGCAGAGGCAAAAGTGTACAAGGTGCAAAAGCTGTGTACAAGACAGTGTACAAGGTGCAAAAGCAGAGGCAAAAGTGTACAAGATGCAAAAGCAGGGTACAAGGTGCAAAAGCAGAGGCCCAAGTAACCAGAGCTGTTCAGCCTCTCCAAAGCTTGGAGGGACAAGCATCCAAATATATATATATATTTAAACCCTGTTAGAGAGCTTGGCTTATGAGTTTTCCTGAGGTGCACCGTTAATGTGGATGTCACTGCTGAGAAGGCGCAACTCCTTGCCCCTATTCAGTCGAACTGGAATCAAAGACCAGATTCAGAGCAAGTTCTGCCCCAGAACATCGCAGTATATAGATAGGTTCACCTGGAAGAAGACATTACCGAAGGTAGCCTGGACACCAGCCATTTCTTAGGTTCTAAATAAATGCACATATACCTGTGGTTATGGTAACTGAGTGCATTTTAGGGCTTACTTTTGAGCAAATATGCTTCAGATATACTGCTGGCCATGTAGTAGCAGTGTGCTGCTACTAATGGAAATTGCCATGCAATAGTGATGACTGTGCTGTCCAGTTGGAAAGGGTTTCTTGGACTGGTTTGTTGAACTAGTGCAATGCTACAATTTGACGCTGGTCGCTACAACTCTGTTCAAGCCACTGATGGGCCAAGAATCTTGCCCCAGACTTAGGAGTCTGTTGCTGTATTGTTTTGTGTCTGATTTTATTTCACAAGGCATATCCTGCAAACTATTCTAAAATGTCCAGAATAAAAGGTAAAGAGTGGCAGTGTTTTTTTGAAGCAGTTGGTATATCAGTGCTCTGAACATACTGCTCATACTAGCTGTCTTTCTGCATTTAGAGCAGGGACATACACAGTCAAATAGCCAATTGTCACGTAACTCTTTTCCTCTCCCTTCCATAAACACTCACAGTGTAAGATCTTATATGTCTTGGGAGGAAAAAACAGGTCCATTGCTTTGTCTTCCATTCTTAGGACTTCACAGAGAACTCCTGTATGTAAGGAGGAATATGCCATGTAGATTAGTCGGGCTGGTTAGTTTCTGCATGCTAGAAGTCTTTGTAGAACAGAAGTGGTCACAATGGCCATACGATGTGGATAGTGTACTTTTTCCTGTAGGTTTGTTGTGTGAAGATTTTCTTCACCTGTACCTCCAGAAGCACTTCTTGCCCAGGCATAAGAAGCTAGGGATCAGGGCCGTAATGTTCAATTTCATCTTATATTAAAAGTAAACAGGCCACATGGGTGAAATAACTGCCCGATCGTCTATTAGGTAGATTCTGATTCTCCTGGTTAAGCCAATTGAAGTAGAATGTTTGAATTTAAGCAGTTCTAATCAGATTTAATCTGATTTTATAGTTGTAGTGGTGTTATTTTACATTATGGAAAGGTAAAATTGTCATATACTGAGTCAGACTGCTAGTCCTTGTTGGAAGAGAAGGCCTAGATGCTGTCTGAAGGGGGGGCCGAGCAAACAAGTCAGTGAGATAGACAAGGAAACTGTGGGGTTTCTTCCTGTTTACTCTCCTGTCACTGTTCTTTGATGTAGACTGATAGATTACAGGGAAATTGCCTTTCTTCCTTCCATACTGGACTGACTAATCAGTTACTGCCAACACTTCTAGCTCAGTATTATCTCTTTTGATTTACTGTCACTTTCCAAAGCCTCAGGCAGAATTCTGTCCTGGCCCTGCTCTCCAAAAGCCTTTAACTGAGGTTTTGGCTATTGAACCCCAGACCTTGTACGTGAAAACACAACCACTGACTGAACATTAATTACACGAAAGATTGGACCAGATAGAGTAAAGCCCTTGTGCTCAGTCTCAACAAAGGTTGTGATTGGCTTGTGAATTTGAAATGAAGTTGAGTATTCTGTTTTAACTGGGTTACAATGAATCAGATCTCCCACATACCAAACTCCATCATTCTGCCCCATGTGCCAGACTTGCATCTTAAAACCTTTTTAAAATTATCGACTCAGTTTCTAGAAGAGGCTGTGGAGCTGTTATCACAAAGTCAAGGCTGAAGATTGGCTTTCACAACAACTTGCTGAATAGGGTTGGTCCTAATCCATCAACTAATCCATTTTGGTCAGTAAGTAATACTGACTTGGATCCTAGCTCTTTCTTCCATGTTTGGAGGGAGTACTCTGTTGCAATGAGCAGAAGGTGCCTAGCGCTGCAAAAAAACACTCTTGATAACTGAGCACTGCCTTTACACAATGCCGCAGAACCAAAGGAGCCGGTTCAGGGGCCAAGCTATTGTTCTTCTACAAGGAAAGAAAATAAGTCTGAACTACTGTTCTTTTGTAACCTGTATAGTACATTCCACAGTGATATGCAATTAAATGGTATTACGTTTTTAGTCCAAAAGAGTATCTGTGACACAGTCTGCCATACAGAAATGAATGGCTTATACAGGAGATGTTCCCAATGGATTGTTCACTGGCAATATATATATTCCAGTAGTGGCCAAATCTTGGCTCACAAGCTACATGCAGTTCTTCAATTAAATTACAGTTTACAAGCCTACACAACTGCAGCTCCTGCAACAGTGCTCCCTCCTCAGAACGTTGAGGGACCAGGCAGTCTGCTCCCAAGCACCTCACGTGCTAGGAATCAGGGCACTGACTCTTCCTGCCTTTGGAAGAAGAGAGACCACAGCAGAACGGAGAGGAAAGATAGCATCTCCTTGGCCTCAGTGCCCTCCCACGCTAGGAGTCATTCTGCATTCTGCTGTCTTCTCTCTTCTTTCAAAGGTGGGAAGAGAAGGCCAAGAGGAGAGGCTTGAAGAATTGGATGGGAACAAGAGGGCTAGGAGCAGAGAACCCCACAAAAATGGGACCAGGAACTCCAGGAGGTTGAAAATGAGCAGAGAAGGTGGCTTCATTCCCCTGGAAGGCTGGGCCTCTTTTTAACCTGGATAGCAAGCAATTAATGATGTAGCAGTCTTTTCAGCTTGGCTTACCTCATGAGCTCTGTTTAAAATCTGTTTTATTTACCCATCCACAGAAATAAAAGGATTTCCACTTGAATGTGTTGAGAATCCAGGCGATCAAACAAGTCGCCAGTGGTGAAACTAGTGGTGGGAGTTCCTTGAAAATAGAAATGGCCACTACATTTGAGGGGGCCATGCAGGTAATCACTCGGAGGCACTGGGTGATTGACCAAGCATTGATGTATTAGTTTGCTTAGTTGAAATGTTTTAACCCTGTCTTTCCTGTTTTAGCCCAAGGCAGCTATGCTGACTAATGCTGTTCTGTCAAACAGCGGCTGCCTTAGATTAGCTAAACTCAGGCTGATTTAATTATGGCTATTCCAAATCCAGCAGCAAAAGAAAAGATCCTCCCTTTTGATTGGGCAATCTGCAATGACAGCAGTCAGTACAGGTCATGTATTTTGTACCTCTGCACCTTCTAAAGATCATGGCATGCAGCTCTTCAGTATATTTAGCCACACCTTATATACACTGTTCATACAATATATACTGTGTTCTTTTTAAAATTCTAGTTTATACCTTTTTTTTCTTTCTTTTTTTTTGCAATGTGTAGGTAAACCTGGTCTCCGAGCACATATGGTGTGAGGATTTCCTTGTGAGAAGCTTTTACTTGAAAAACCTTCAAACCAACGAGACTCGAACCGTGACCCAATTCCATTTCCTTACTTGGCATGACCAGAAAGTTCCTGGTTCCACAAGGTCCCTGCTGGATTTTCGCAGGTACAGCATGAAGTACTGATAGCTGAAATAATCTACAAGGAGAGCACCACATACTAGAGCAGGGTGTCACTTTGAAACTATTGAATTGTGTGTGGAGTGATGAAGCAGCTCGGTCTGTTCCTCGTAGATACTCCTCTATGACTGTATCATGGTACTGGGAGATTATTCCTATCCCCACCAAATTCCAGGTTGGACAGCTGCCTGGGTGTTCATGTTATAGCTCTGTGTTCTAACTCGGACCCAAGCAAATGAATCCTTTGTGTGTTGGGCTGGTGCTGCAGAAATGGTAACAGTGAGGCCACGGACAGATGTCATAGTGCCACTGTTCAGGGTTCTGTATATCAGTACACAATGGCAAGCTGAATTTGTAAAACTATCATTAATGAACACATCAGGAATCTAAAACAGTAACTCTGTTTATGTATTAAGTGATAGGTACTGACACTGGATAGTCACCGAAGCATATTAGATCTTGATTTGCAGGGATCTGCCTTCATCTGTAGTGTTTGCACAGAGCCCACCTACTAAATCGATACCACTTAGTATCCAAGTTGACAAGACAATGCCTCCCTACTTTTTCCGGGGGCATGCAGCAGCCTCTCACTGCTGTGTGACACAGAACCTCTCATAGGAGCTCCTTGCTTGGGATGGCATTTTGAGACGTGCTTGTATACCTGCTATAGGTGCCAGCCCATGGCTCTGGGAGGCCACACACCTTCGTCTCCCCCAGGATGAAGCTAGACAAGTGCAAGAGTTCTAGTAGGGTTGAGATAACCCAGAGGCTGTGCTTATCTAAAGTTTGGGAGCAGCTTCCTGGGCAACTCTTGTTCTTTTCCATGGTTCCCACTGATGCTCCATTGTCCAGCTTTAATAAACAGATCAGGTTGATGGTCTCTGTATGTTCCACAAATAGGTACTGTTATGGAACGGTGGATTTTGAGTGACATAGTTCCTTATATGAGGATATACCTGTGGTTCCACGCCACTAATCACCGAGCCTTCCTCCAATACAAGGAAGCCCATCTACAGTGCAAAGACTGCTGTTCCACCAGCGGAAGACTCCTTGTACCGCCACCATTAAGTGGAATAGAACTTTTGTATCCAACTCTGTATATTTATATAGGATGCATCCTTGAACAGCAATGGGAATTCTTTGGGGAAGGTCAGCTGTAAGCCATATACAGGTCCCCTTATTTGAAAGTGTGTACTTTGATGAGGAATAAGTATCAAGAACATGTTCACAAAATGCTAGTTTAACATTCTACAGAGAATTTTCAAATAATAATAAAATCACTTGGAAGAATTTTAGCATGATTACTGCAGACCGCACATTCCAGTCAAATAATGTGAATTGTTTTGGTGAGCTGTTAAAAAAACAGTTTAGATCGTACCCACGGTCTTCAGGTTTACGCACAGGTTACATTTTTGCAGCACCAGCATTGGAATGGTTTGCCATCTGTTGCCATGTTCCATTGCCTAATCTCCTCCCTCTCCCCCTCCCAAGTAGATTTTTGCTCGCTTCAACTGAGTTATCTTTAGCTATTGCGTAGATGCAGAGTAGTAGTGTTGCTATAGGCACCAGTGGGTACAACCCAGAACCTCGCATTCAGAACTTCTGAATATGTAGTGAAATACCATGGGGAGCAGAAGATCTCAGTGCTAGTAGTACTAAAGAGTAGAGAAAGTGGTGGGTACACAGCTGGTTCTAAAATTTAAATAGATTCCAGTGTAATCTACATGTCGTTCTGTGGATGCGCTTCCTGCCTGAAGCAGACCCACCAAATGTGTCCATTCAAGGCCAGGTGGTATTTTGGCTTTTCATTCAAAAGGTATCCACAGGTTTTTGTTTTAAAACACCCTATAAAACTATTTTACATATATAAACTCTTTTGGGAGATGGTTGGTGTGCTATCCTTTTTATATGCACAAGCTTTTCAAAAGGATGTTACTTACTTGATTTTGTTAATTTTTGTATCTTCAGTAACAGTACAGAAGCAGCATATTTTATCATTGGCAAAAGGAATAAATGCTCTGCCCTTGCCAATCCTGATTATTAATGTTTCACAGTTTTCAAAAACTTACACCATGCTATACAGTATGACCTCCCCATCCTCTGATTGTCCATGTTTTGATGTGTATTCAACATGTTTATATACAAATATATAATTTGTATATGTGTGTATATTTATATACTCACATACATATGAAGCTACGAATATACACAACCAACCCTCTATTATAACCAAGAACAAAAAACTGGATTCTCCAAATTACCTTGCCCCAGAGTCTGTTGATGGGAATGTTGCATTCTAAGTTGAAGCTAAATTGGCAAGACTTTGAAAGCCGCAAGCATAACTCTTCTTTTGTGCCTCTGTATTAGGTAGTGCTTCAGATGATATTGTGTTGAGTAGGTGAATCGAGCCTAGGGCATTAAAAGCTTATGTCGGTTCGAAATATTGTGCTCTCAGGTATCAATTGGTGAATGAAGACAGACTTTGCTTCTCTCCGTAAGCTTAGAATAGTCATGCAAAATGCAGTGCTTGAAAGGTAAAAGCGCTCCTCCTGCTCAAAACACTGGTCAGTTTTCGTGGTTACAGAGTTGCAGTTTTATTTTGAACAATAGACCAGTTTCTTTAACTCTGGACTAGCTTGTTAGTCATGCACTGATAATGTGTAATTAAATATTTCTTGAGCCCAGAGGGAGCACATTTACACTTAAAAGAGACACTGCGAAGCTAAAAGATAATTAGCATCACGTGTGAGGGCTTTGCTTAAAATATATATTATGCTATCACTGCTTGCTGTGTGCAATGGCATTTACTAACACTGCTCACTTTAAAAATGGTCAAATTCTTATTTTGCCAGCTAATTAGCGGTTGCCAGTGTCATTTTTGTGATGTTGCAGCTAGTAATATAAGCCCAGTTGCATAGTCACAAAAGTGATCATTGGAAACTGTGACTCTGCTGCAGGGACAATGTGGGAAACCCCTTTTCTGAGCCTCTAACGACCTCTGACCTATGCTTGCTGATGGTTTGCATGGTGATTTCTTTTTTGCTCAATGAGCAAAGGGTTGGTTTGTATTACTAATCATTCTTTCCTAGTTAATTCTTCCTCTGTGTGTGTATGTATGTATGCATTTTATTTGTATATTAAACAATCAGAAACATTACTTATGATTTTTTCCCCCTCTTGGACTTTGAATGAACTAGCACTGCTGTATATTTCTCCAGGTTCCAAACCTGTTTCTCAACAATGATAATTTGTGAAGCCCTTTGTCATTTTCTTGCACTTTCTGAAATCAGTGGTGATCAAGGTGTTTAAATGGGTGTCAATAAAAATGGTAGTCGGGATACCATGGCACCTGCATCCTTTAACCAACCCATTTCAGTTTTAGATAAATATATTGAAATACCAGAAATGCAAATGTAACAAAAAATGCCTCCCTCTCCCCAGCTAGTCCTCCTAAGACGCACAGCTGCCCAATTAACACTTTACGTGGGCCTTCAGTTACACCAGTGTTTGACTGCTGTTTGTTGGTATAAACACGTGAAATGCATGGGGGAGACACAAATCCACAAACACTCACGGAATGGGACAGATCCCACTGTAGAGCGGCAGCTTCCTGCAGCTCTCTGATGCGTATTTATTTGTCTTCAGTGTCACACTTTATGCATTTAACACAGCACACATTGATGTAACTGTAGCACCACGTGGAGTGTAAATTGGCTTCCACTTTGTGTTGACGAGAGCAATTGTTAACGGTACCAATTGGAAAATGAGACATCTTTATCCAGAGTCCTGTTTATAAGACCAGGCAATGCTATTTAACTGTAATAATAATAAGTAAAATATTCATGAGCAGCTTGATGCAGGTCTTGTTGTGTTGTATTTTTAAAATCTTGTGAGCCACCTCAAGCCCCACATTGCAGGAGAGGGGTGGGATATAAATCTTAAAATAAATTAAAAATAAAAACTGTTCAATCACAAGCCATGGCTTAGCAACTGGAAGAGCTCAAAGGTCTCATGCAAACCTTCACCTCTTTGTTCTCATTGGCATCCCCTTCCCCTCTTGCTGCCAGCTGTAAGATAACTACAATCAGCATTAGGTCTGCATCATATAGCTAAGTGCCAGACCAAAGTTATGGTGGTCAGAATTGAGATTGTCTTCTTTGGTTTGGGTTAAATATGGCAAATGAAAAAGTCATTGGAGTTATAATCCTGAGCATACATACTTAAAACCAAAAGGGAGGTGAGAATATCAATACAACAGGGGAGGAAGATGAAAGGGAAGCATGTGAGATTACAGGATACTCCTGATCACCAAGCCATAATTCAGTAATTGATCAGTATTATGAGCCAGTATAGGAAAGCTGGGGAATGTCCAGTAAGGAGGACATTAAAGTAGGCTTTTTCTTGGCTCTTAGCCATAGACTGCATATTCCTCCCTAAGTACCATGGCACTCAAAATGAAGCTTCACATCTAAATCCAAGGTACAACTTGAAGATTAGTTACAGTAAGCATTCATATGGTGACATCTCATGGGATTTTCAAGGCAAGAGATAAGCAGAGATGGTTTGCCATGGCCTGTCTCTGTATAGCAGCCATGGACTTCCTTGGTGGTCTCCCATCCAAGTACTAACCTTGGCTGACCTTGTTTAGCTTCCAAGCTCTGATGAGCTCAGACTAGTCTGGGCTATTCAAGCAGCTATTTTCACTATAAATTCTTGAATTCCAAGTGTTGTTTTTATAATGGTCTAACTTTGCTGTGCTTGGATTTAAGGAGGTTAGTGCTCTGCTGTCGATTTCAAAAATGTATTTAGGCTTCTTTTAAGAAGTTGATACCCAAAGGGGAATTATTTAAGTAAATAAAAAAGTATATGTAACTGACCAGCAGAAGTCACTTAAATGTCTGGTGAAAACAATTTATTCTTGCTTCATATACACTTGGTGTTCTTTTCCTCTTTTGAAATAGCTTTGTAGCGAAAGGTTTTTGTAGGTTTTGCCTTTCCTATTTAACATATGGTTTAGACACTTGATATTTCTAGATGAGTAACTTATTTCACATCTAAATCCCAACTCTTGAGTATTAACACTCATTATTATTGCTGACTAGATAGTATTTTAAAGTGTGCCTAGTAGTGAAGATGTTTACAGTGCAATTCTATGCAGAGTTACTCCAACCTAAACCCATTGGGTTTGGTGGGCTTAGACTAGAGTAACTGCACAGGCAATAAACTAACAGTGCAATCCTATCTTTGCAACAACTTTGTAAAAGGTAGGTTACTGCTCCTATCTTTTAGGTGGGAACATATAAAAGCTAGCTTGTTATTAAGTGCATTTACTTGAAAGTAAAAGCCATCAGCCTCAATGGAAATGTGAAAATATGCTGAGCAATACAATCTGTTCCTTGTGTTATTGTCACAAATTCATTTTGTATTGTACCCAGCCCCAAATTAATCGTAAATCTTTCACCAATGCTGCATGACTCATATAACTTCTTGGCATTGTTATATTAACACCCAAAATACCTTTTTAGCAGTAGCTAGATGTAGTCATTCTGAAAAAAAGTGGCAGGGTAGTAGTATTTTTTAACCTCTTCTACACAATCTGAGTACATGCATGACGTCCTTGAGGGACAGAACAAAGTTTGATCAAGTCTGGGGCTGTATATGCATGAAAAATGGTTTCTGTGTACCTGTCCCTAGCTGCATGCAAAAATGTGTGCCCCAGTTCCCCTTCCCAAAGCAGCAAGTTGGAACTGTGCACATGTCCTTTTAAAAAAGCTAAATCCCTCCAAACTGTTGAGGAGCAAACATGGATGCAGGAAAGGAGGACTGGCTCCACACTTCCTCCTGTCCCTACTGAAGAACTAATTGGTAGGATTACAGTGTTGTAGAATAAAGGGTGTGTGTGGCTTCTTCATGCTCAGCCCTGACTGCCGTGCCCATGCTGTGTTGGACCAGAGCCAGGAAGCACACGTTTTCTAGCTAGTGCACGTTGTTTACATTCGCTTGTATTCCAGATGTGAGAAATGATAGAAGAGCTTTTATTGGCATGTATGGAAAATACCAGTACTTCAGTGTGAAAATGGGTGTAGAAATGATGATGTGTGAAGGTCTGCTTGGAATATCCCAGTATGTCACAGTGAACTTTTACGGGGTCTAATATGATACAAGTTTGTCTGTATTACTGTACGGAATGTGGGATTGGTACGAAACTGAACACACACCTGCATTTTGTTAAGGCTACTGTTGTCAACAGCATACTCTGGCCTAGGGCAGAATTCACTAAGCACTGTGCCTTCAGCGAAATCTTTATTTATTCCAATGGATCTTGTGTAGGAGCAGTGTTTGGAGGATGGCACCCATTGTCCTGATGAATTAGGCTTGCACAGGGTTGATTGATCTGAAGAAAGCTTGGGTCAGGTTTTCCGAACAAGTCAAACCATGTTTTTATGTGTGATTTTTTTAAAAATTATTTTTTCCGACAGTCTGGGCTTGTGAAGTAATGTGTTTCTTAATGCCTGTATTTGTTTTATTACAGAAAAGTAAACAAGTGCTACAGGGGTCGTTCTTGTCCAGTAATTGTTCATTGCAGGCAAGTACCATTTTCAAGCTAGCCTCAAAGAGGCTAATAAGGAAATCATGTAACTTGAACCAAAGGTACAACTAGTTTTACAGATTGATTTGTAGGGTAAACCCTTCCCCCCCCCCCAAATGTTCCTTATTGTTTTGGCCCAGCATGATACCTTTGCTGCTTCTTAGATGGTAAAACTTGATTTCTCCAAAAAGAGTTTTTTGTTGCATATACTGTTCATAATTAACTGTTTGGCTCTCAGAGGTTCTTCAGGTTGTACAGTGGTAGAAGAAAACGGAAGAAGTCCTTTCTTCAGCTCTGTCAGGGCTAATTGGCCTAAAGAGCCCTCCGACTGGGTTTTTTTCCGGATCATGTAGAATTTTTTGCTATTTCACTATGCGTTGTTACTTTGAGGAATTTTTTTTTTTGACAATTCATGCGCACAACCAGCTTTTTGCCACATAAGAGAGTGATGTGGTGTTGGGAGCATCTTTGCTTGGTTTCTGGGCCTGTGTGTCGGACCAGAGCCACTTCCATAGCCCAGTAGCTTAGACCAGAAATAACGTACAGCTCTTGTCTCCCCCATTCCCCGCCTTCTGGCACTTTGACTGTCTCACAGATTTAAGTGCTTCTATAGTAAATCAGTGGAAAAATTGCTACTATTGATGAAACCTAGGATTCTCTGGTTATGTCAGTTTCAAGACTCACTTGGGTTTGAGCAATATTTGTAGAATTATGCTGTTTTCAAGACTCTAGTAAAACTAATGATTGAATTTCTCCCCTGTGGCTCAGTTTATTTCACTATAACTCGGCGAGAGATGTGTGGTCTCTTATGTAAATGATAATGTATACCTCCCATTCATTTAAAAAAATCTTTGCTTTTTGCCATTGCCATTTGTCTTCTTCAGTCCACCTCTTTGGCATCATTAATTAAATCATTACTTAATATCTAGTAAATTATACCCAAAAAAAATTAAGATCAAAACTATAGTAGCTTTATAATGTCTCCTTCCCCTGCCTGCTCAACAATAACTGTTCTTGGTGAAGGAAATTTTCAGAAGAAAACTGCTTCCAGTTATCTCTTTTCCTTATTCAGGAATTGCTACAAATACAGCCTTTTAAAAAACCAGATGAAAGGGCAAGAAAAATTGGTTGCTTAAAAACTTAATTGTGTTTGCTAGCAACGGACACCGAAACTATGACATGGCCAATTATAAGCAGATCTCTGACGGCAAAGCAAACGGCATTTAGATGAGAGTGGTCTGGGTTTCCTCAGAGTGCTCAGCCACAGATGCATCTTTCTTGTGTGTGCATGTTTTTAAAGGTAGTGCCTTTAGAAGATCAAAAACATCTTTCAGATGCTGCATGAATTTTTTTTCCTCATTGTAACAGCGCCCGTATTAAGGTGAAAAGGGGGGGGGAAATAGTTGGCAGTGTTGTTCCTTTTGAGGCCCAAATGGCTAGTATCCAATTACTTGGTAAGGAAATAATACGATCCTTAAATAACAAAAGATTTTTCACAATATAAGGAGAGGCAGGTGATTGAAAGGTTAGCTGGCCAAGCCATGGCCCTCCGGGTGAGCTCAGACACAGGGAAAAGCAATCATTTGAGAAAGATGCTGGGCCGGTTGATCAGCTCTTGAACTTGATTAGGGGGGAAAATGGACCTCAAAAATCTAGCATTTTAAATTTCATTACTGTTTAAAAATAATAGTGGATTTGTTTCCAAAATAAACACACCAATGCCATGAAAGAAGCAAATGTATCTTGCAAAGCTGTACAGTTCATATATATAAAAATAACTGCTAATCTTGTACAGATAATGAAAAATATTTCTTTCCTTCTCCCCTTCTTCTTCCTCAGCTTCTCTCCACCTCTCCTTAAAAAAAAAACCCTCCCCATGTGATGCTTCTCTAATATAAAATCAAGAGTAACTGCTTTTCTGCTGAATTATTGTGCACACGGCATTGATCAGAATTTCCCCCCTCCCCCCTGTCTGTTTGTAGTGATGGTGCAGGAAGAAGTGGAACCTACATCCTAATTGACATGGTTCTCAATAAAATGGCCAAAGGTGAGAATCAAAAGGGTTGCTGCTTTTGAGTTCAGAGATGTGACGGCGTTGTCATGGCAACACAGGCACTGTATTCACAGAAGGGCCTCGGATAGATTAGAGGCAAATTTTGCCCTTGCCTGAACGTGCTTTAGAGGTTTTTATTTTTTTTTATATCCACGGTGATTAAAAATGAAGGAAATTTGCAACTCCCCTGAAAGCTGTACATGAATGGGTCTTACACAAGTGCGGCTAGAAATTTACCATTTGCGTAACTTTTATCAGCATAGAGGTTTTGAAGTACACGCTGAACATTTGTTTAGCGTTGCCTAAATCTGAAGCCATTCAAACTCTCTGTAGGTCCTTCAGCAAGTTGATGTTCACCCCATTGTAACTCTCATACAGGCACTTCTCTGGCTTGAAGAGGGTTAGAAATCAGAAATGAACAAGGAGAACTTTGCACCTTGACTTTCTGAAATGTTCTCACAGTACATTCTGGGCCCTATTTCTCCAGTTTATTTCTACCTTGCTCCCTTTTCCATTTGCATGAGGCATTTGCTTGAATGGTGAACCATCACAGTATTTATTTGAAATAAGCAGCAGACCCACTCAGATAGGTCACAGGAGTTTCTGGCTTGCAGCAAAACACTATGAGAGTTACCACTCTTTCTGGCTTTACTCCTATGCGTTTTAAAAGCAGACGCTTAGAAATTACGCACGTGAAATTATCTGTTTACAATGTTCATATCCTGCCTTTCCATCCAACCAGGGCCACCAAGGCAGCAAACGGTTCGAACAAACATAATAAAATGCACCATAAAACACAGTTAAAATCAGGGCTAAAATACATATATATAAAAAACCCAAAACAGCTGATTGAAACACAAAGCAGGAAGAAGGGATCGCTGAAGGCAAAACAAAAAAGGTTGCCACCTGCTGGCCGAAGGAAGTGGTGGTAGGAGGGGGACAGACAGATATCCCTGGGAAGGAGGTCCGTGATCTTGCTGCCACTTCTGAGGAGAAGACCTTCTCTCGGAATGCCAGCCCCAGAAAGCGGGGCGCATGAAGCAGGGCCTCAGAAGGTGACCATAGTGGTTACGCTTTTGCCATCAGTTACCCATTTGCCTGGAAGAGCATCACCTACTTAATTCCTGCCAGGTTTCTGTTAGACACAGGAGCCGGGAAGAGATCATGGTATGAATATTCAGCAGCTGATCTTGCGTCTTGTGCATTAGAGGTCATCGGTTTTCATCGTTCAGCTAAACCAGGCCCGCTGGGTGCTACTGTCTGGCAAGCCTGAAGGCAAAAATAGGGGTATGGATGGAGCTGCCTCCGCAGAGGGAGGGGAGGGGTTTGACAGTGGATTGGTTTTGGGGGGCAGGTTGGGCCCTTCACGCCCCCCGCATCCCTTGCTCAGGTGGTTCTCCAGCAAGGCTAGTTGCTGACCTGACCAGGGTTCTGCATTGTTTTAAAGGGATGCCGCGTTTTGGATGCTGTGCCTCTCTACACACATTTACATACATCTCTAAATAAGGCGGCAAAGTAATTAAAGTATGTTTGGGAGAACCAGCACATGATTGTTTAAGTCAGTTACACACTAGATTCTCTGCCACTTTCAGAGGGTATTACCGTGTACCAATAAAGGTTACTCATTTCATTTCACTTGCTGTCAACCACAGTCCTCAAATCTTTTTCCAGCTTTTTTCTCTATAAGAGCAACAGGCCTCCATGGAAACTGCACCATCATCTAGTCTATGAGAATGTGGCCATCTTCATCATTACCTGTTACTCTAGGCTGGGCTTCAGAAAACTGCACAAGTAGTTCTGTGTACCTGAGGAAGTCTTTGGGCTTGCGCTTCTCAAAACACTGTTCTGCATGCTATACAGCAAACTACTTCTGACATTGAGAGGACTTTTCAGAAGCACTCTGTGGTATGGAACAGATGCTTGATGATCAAAGGGAGAGGGGCAAAACTCCCAGCAGGCATCCTTGGATATACCTAAAAATAGTTCTTTGGATCCCAGCCCTAGCCTGGGAGATGCATTACTTTAGCCACCTCTTTGAGTGATTGGGTGGACTTCTTGGCCCTTTTTAAATCTAAGAATGGCTTTAAGAGTATTCAGTATGACAGACTTCTATATAATGCTTGATAGCCCTCAGCTCAGGTAAGCCATTCATGTGAAAGCAGAAGGTGCTGCAGCATCAAACTGGAATGCTTTGCACAGCGAAGGATAACTCCTGGTATGCCGCGTGAACTAACAATGAGAACTAACTAAAATTTCTGTTTTGGGTTATGCTGCTCTCAGAATGATTGATCCTTATAAGCTTTGTGCTGAATTTCAGTAGTGCCAAAGCCTGTGTCTGTAAACACTGGAGGATGATCCCAGTGCTTGGATGTTATCTATGTAACAGACATGAATTTTGAGAGGACCACCTTTCACTTTTCTCCCATACACATGTAAGAATTAAGAGTTATTACATTTTATGCCATTAAAGGTTCCTGAAACTGAACTGAATTAAGAGAACTGACCCTATTAACAATTCAGTGGTGAGTATTCACCCAGGGTCAGAAAAAATGTTTTGTCGTTCATCGCAGCAAATGTTCATATCACTAGCAGCTGTTCTAGTGTATCTTGATGTCTAGACACTTTACTTGAGCTAATATATATTAGATATTAACAAACTGGAAGCCCTAATATGAACTGGGGAGTGGTAATAATCTGGAAATCAGAGGCTCAAGCAAAGAAACTGACAAAAAAACCCTTATTACTTTAAATGTAAACACAGATTTCTCCCTTAAAATTTCCTCCCACAGCCTCAGTGCTAAATAGAAATTACGTTGTTTTCACTGTTGGCCAGGTCTCTCTCTTCTTTGCACACCCTTAACTAGGCGCTGAGGGTCAGAGAGAGAGAGGAGAAGAGAGGCTGGCTGGCTGTCACAGGGAAGGAAAACCACTCACTATGGAGGTCCAAACTGAAGTTGCAGGAATGAAAGGCGAAAAAGGAGCTCTCTGTAAAGTTTTAGCTGGGTTTTTCAACAGCAGTTAAACATCAGTTCCCTGTTTCTCAGTACTTGTATCAGGACAGGTTTTAATCTGCCACACCCTATTTCTTCCTCTACTGTTTATGCCCCTCTCCCCCCCCCCCATTTTGGAGGGCTCTTCGTCAACAGTGGGTGATAAGGAGCATCAAAACAACCAGGTTATTACTCTAACAAATTGTCGTCAACAGTGGGTGATAAGGAGCATCAAAACAACCAGGTTATTATTCTAACAAATTGAGATGGGATGAAGAGTCCCTCCCATCAGAAGAGCGATTCCAGCCAGTAGGCCATCCAGCAAGCATTCAGACCATTGTGAAGTCCAGAAAGGAGTCCCATTGATTTCCAAGTAATTCTGATCAGGCTGTATGCAGTCTTAAAAATTAGAACAAAATACAGTGTGTTACACTTTCTTGTTCCCTAGCTGCAGAGGCCATTCAGCTCAGTCAGTTCTCTCTCTTCCTGACAGCCAAGAGGGACTTCCTAATTTTCCCAGAGTCTGGCACTTTTGACAGTTCAGCCACTGTCCTGCATTGTACAATTAACAGGCTTCATGTAGATGGTTTCCCCAGTAAGTTTGCAGCTTTGTTGGATAGGGAAGGTTTACTCTAAGATCTGGGGGTTGCACATAAAACCAGCAAGGGGATTGGTTTTATTGTATTTATATATGGAATTTTATGTGAGCCGCCCTGAGCTTGCCTTGGTGGGGAGGGAGGGGTATACACTGAATAAATAATAAGGTGGGGCTAAGCCAGCAAAGTGCTTTGTTCAGCCCTCTGTACTTGCTTTCAGCTTTCACTGTTTACCAATACATTAAGAAAAAAGTGTCTTCTAGTCTCCCCCCCCATTCCTTTTCTCTTTTGCTGCTGCTCACATGTGACCTGTCTTCTGTTACGACTTGTGCTTAAAAATATATACCCATCCCTCAAATCAATTGTCTGATGACCTGCCTCACTGCACTAAGACCATGGCGGTAAGATTCCTGACACAGCTGCTTTGTAACAGTGCATGAGATGTAGCGGAGAAGGTTGCAAAATCATGTGGCAGCCCCTAACAGTGACAAAATTGTTCTGGTTTGCTTTTCAACCGGATATTATATATAGCTGTATCGCCAACGTGTTTTTCCCGTCATTTTTTTTTCAAAGCTGTTCTTTTCACACAGTGGTAAGTGAGGGGGGGACCAAAGAGTAGATGGATCCTAAAAGAGAGCCAGGGCCCGTGTGGTGGTGTAGATGGACTCGGATCTGGGAGAACCCTGGTTTAAATCCCCGCTTTGCTATGGAACTTGCTTGGGGGCATTTGGACCAATCACTTTTTCTCCGCTTCATCTTCGTCACAGGTTTGTTGTAAGGGTAGAACGGAGGAGGAGGAGAGAATAATGCACATCACCTTGGAGCTGCTTGAGGAAGGGCAGGATAAAAAAAAATTAACTAAAATCAATTACTTTTTTAAAATGGCACCCTACTTGAGAACAGCATGTCTGTGAAAAACTGTATTATAAACATTCTCCATTTAATTGCATATTCTGCTCTGCCTTTAAAATCCCAGGCTAAAAATTGCTTCTCTTACCACAAGCCTCATTCAGTATGGTGTACTTCGGGTGGGTGGGAACTGTTTAACAGTGATGAGCTGGAACGCTGCTGTTGCATTCTGTTCTGTTTTCATGTGTGCTTAATATTTTTAAGTTGGACCGTACCTTGATTCTTTCCAAATGGAATGGAGTAAAGTCGTGGTTTGAATTTATTAGAGAGTTGAGCTAGTCCAGATCAGTTAATTAATATAGAAGACAAAGAAGTGGAATTTTCTTTGTGTGTGTGTGTGCTGTGTATAATATAGTGTGATATATATTATATAATACACTTTATTATATATAATATAGTGTAATATAGTGTGAATTTAGTAGAGATGTGAGCTATTCCTGATCAATTAATTAATATGGGAGACACAAGAGTGGCCTTTTCTCTGTATGTGTGTGTGTGC